GCACTACTACCCGAAATACAGAGGCGTATCTACCAAGTGGTATAATTTGTCCATGGTTACACCTGTTTCCATATTGTGCCTCTTCGAACTTATATTCTGGTCTCGACGTTGATCACACGACATCAAGTACAGGGTGCGGCAGAGAGGATGGAAGGTTTTAAAAAAATCATAAAATAGTTAATCTTTACTCGAAAACAAATTTACTGATGGAATCAGGTTCACAAGAGACATTTGAGACAGTCAAGTGTAGAAAATTACATCAGGCATGTGGTGGCCGAAATCGTTGATGCAGTGCTGGAGGCGTTCTTGATGCAAGTTTGCGATACAGCGAACCAAACCGTCACTTTTGGGCTGTGCAGCGGTCATTCGTGTAACTGTTGCGGATTTTCCCAATAATGACAATTCTGCTGATTAACCATGCTGTTTAGGTGAAAGTGGGCTTCGTCACTCATAAACAAAATGAGGTTCTCATTTTGATCGATCAGTGCTTCCATCTCACGTGCTAAGTACATTCGTTGTGCATAATCTCCGGACTGTAACTGTTGCACAATGGCCAATTTGTAGAGGTGAAAGCGGAGATCCATATGCAAAATTCGCCTTACCGAACGATCACTAAGGCGAAGTGCAGCAGCATGTCTCCGGGCCGATCGAGTCGGACTGCGAAGAAAGACCTGTCGAACGCGTTCAACATTTTCAGGAGTTCGAACTGTTCGCGGCGCTCCTCTTGGTCTTCTGTTGATCAGTTCACCACACCTACGAAGTGATTCAACCAACGAAGGATGGTGTTTCGAGAGGGAACAGCTATATTCCGATGAATGTTGAAGTGGCGACGAAACTCTCGCTGTACGACGATGACTGACTCATTATTTCGGACGAAACAATCATAAGCGACAACGCGGTGCTCCACCGTCCAAGGCTCCATAACCACAACTGGTAAAATAATGCTCTCACGAGTCAAACGGCACCCTCCCCACCTCTCTCGTAGACGGAGGCGGAGAGTACTACCCATCCCAAAAACGTCCGTCATCTCTGCCGCACCCTGTATGTTGCTTCCCTCGTATATCTTTGCTTGATTGTGTCCAAGGCTCTCATTCCTTCCCCTTACTGTAACTGTAGCCTACGGTTGGCCATTCTCGCCTTCCTCATTATTGCAAAACATATTGGTGGAAGGTGTCGCATGAATTATTGCACCTGATGGAATATGAACTGTTTGTGACATGTTCCTATATTATATTTTCTCAACACTCTTCTTACCTTCTTTATGATTGCTGATGAAGAAAATGAGAGATGGTTACGTGGCAACACCGGATAAGAGAGAGCAAGATTAGCATCTACGCGAGTGCATGGGCATGATGAATTAATTACTCTTGGCTGTATTTCTTGTGTTTCTCCCTATTTTTTTCACCGCATCAACCACCTCAAGACAAGCCCCGGAGGCTTCCTTCAGCTGCAGCAGATCAGCTTCAAGGTAACCCTACTTAGTTATGTTATAGCAAGTATCTTTTCCGCATCCCGGATGTCCTGCGAATCTACCATTTATGTCTCGCATTCGCCTCGCATCGTCCCCATCAATCGTTGATATCAAGCGCGCAAACATGAACTGCTAGTGAAACTGACATGTAAGTTGAGTCGACGATATTAGTGGCGATAGTAATAAGTAGCACAGCAAGAGGTGAACTGCTCGACTATTATTTTTACTCTACTAAATCTTTATTCTGTATAAATATTTTCGATACTTACTCTTCTTGCAGCTGACTTCTGAATTTAACAGCAAATAAGTGAGTCCCTTATTTCCAAAAGCGGCTAAATCCAAAATTGACGGTATTAAGAAAAAGGCGAAAAACTGTAATTCTTACTATTTGTAAGTTTGTGAGTCAGTAATACCGTAATACTAATGTATGTAGCACAATAAAGGATTTTTGAAAAATAAAACATATTTTTTGTTTTGTATGTCAGTATGGGAGGGGGGTAGGGATGGATCCACCCGAGTTTGAATGTGAAGTCAGGATTTACCCGGTATTGAAACGAAGTTTGTGTGAATTCTTTCCTGATGTATTAACATTAGATAACAAAAAGGAATAAAAAAGAAAATCATACATTCTGTCTTGTAAACTGTTTTGGGTACATCAACTTTAAAGTCAACTTGAGAAGTAGACAGTCCTTTTTGTTAAAAACGAAAATAAAATTCATAAAACATCAGCTTCAAAGCTACACTCGGTATTAGCAAAGCACACACTTTTATCATCAGCATTTTCTTCTGCTTGTGTTAAACTTTGTTGATTATCTATAACAGTCTTATAGTATTCCAATTCGAATTCTTCATTTTTTTGCTTCCACGCCGTACCAAAATGTTTTGTCAAAAGTTCATCAACATTCTTTAGTTTTTCGGGATTTATTTTCAAGTTATTTATACAAAAGTTTTTTGGGGACATGAGCGATATCCTCTTTCCCCTTTTGCAGATGCCTTTAGCGTTATTCACATCAGACTGGTAATTTGGTTCACCCCTTACCAGGACTTGCAGAACGAGTCAGCATCAACCGCTTACATGACTTGATTTGTAAAGGTAGTGAGGTTGGTGACTTGATGACATTTCCGGCCTCCTTTTCCCAATTTTGAATATGCCAGTCCTGTCCCAATTTTTTTAAAGTACCATGGTTTTCGGAAATATTATAATACGTTTCAGGCTTGACTATTGTGTCAAGTTTTTTTATCTTTTTTTCTATCAAGGCGAAAACTCGATCTGGAGGTAAAAAAGAATGGCCAGTGACCGGAAATATCAATTGCAGTTTTTCGATATGGCTCGGAGCTTCTAACATCCATTTAGCGCACATAGACAGAACAACACTATTTTTGTTCTGCCCAGTGTAGCCATCTGATACCAGTCTAATCTCTTTCACATTCTCAGGAATCGTGATTTTGTTTAAAGAGTCATAAACCGCTGAGGCGATTTCATTCGATCCCTTATGACATTCTGTTTCAAGCCACGTATGGATATAAACATTTTCTTTTAAAAGTTTTGCTTTTGATGATCCTATGACAACAGTAAAGTTGTAAAGATACAGTTGCCTTTTGTAATATGTTATTTGATCAGGAATTTTCGGTAATACTAAGTTTTTTTGGCAGTCAAATGTCAGAATCAATAGATCATCACTTTGGCCTCTGAGTTTATCATAAAATGCTTTTGCCCTTAGCTTATGTATGCATTGTTTCACTATTAAATCGTTTTTTACCTGCAAATCTTTCTCTCTCTTGATCATTTCTCTGTATTCAAGGCATTGCGAGCAGACATCTACTTGTGGCGCATTGAATCCTATATATGTAATATACACGTCAACAGGATCTAGCCGGTCTTGTTCATAAACAAGAACATAATAGTTGGTGTAGCAGTGGATGTAGCCGGTTTTGGTAAAACCAAGGATATAGCCACTTTTGTAATAAAACACGCATCAGCTTTAGTCGGATTTGAAAATAAGACTGAAATAGTGTGCTGATTTATATAGATTTTGCCGCATTTTGGAAACGAGTATGTATTACAGTATATTACTAGAACCTTTGATTATGAGATGGCAGCACCCACACCATTTTTCGTAAATATGGATTTAGCCGCTTTTGGAAATAGGGGGCTCAAGTATCCATCCCTCAATACCTTGAGTAAGCATTTTTATTCCTTTATCGCGAAGAGTTATCATCTTAATAATAATAATAAGAATAGCATTTGTTGACTAACAGAAGAACCAAGCACAAAGCGGATTACAATATATCTTGAATTACTCAATTATAAGGTAAATACTTCTAAGACTAGCTACAAACGAATATATGGCATTCATTACTAATTTGATTGTAACACATATCACATTAAACTGGTGACTTCAACAGCGTACCTGATCGTGTCGAGAATTAAATCTAGGGACATAAAAGGATAATTGCTGTAATAGTTATGGAAATTTAATATCCAGTCTCGCATAAAAGTACATTCGTCTGTCCCTAGAATGTTTTTAAAAAAATCTGGATTTTCAATGTTTTTGTGTAAAAACGACTGCCAGAATGTGAGTCTGCGATGATAGTCTTCTAGTAACAAGGCCTGCACTCGTTCACATGGTAGGGATAAAGCAAATTGACCCATAGGATTCTATGGACTATGGTATGCGATGCTCCTACGCGGCGGCCTAATTCCCGAGTGCTGATAACTGCATTGGTTTCCACGATATTTAAAATTTGTTCCTCCTGCTCTACAGTAACCTGTCTTTCACGAGTGCGGATATGAGTGGGCTGAACACTTCCTGTATCTCGAAGTCTTTGGTACACTTGCAAATGTCCTTCTGTCTGGGTGTACCCGTTGGCGAAATCTGTCGCGATAGATTTGAGCTGCAAGATTTGAATTCTGACAAGCTTCACAGTAAACTAACATGCCGGCGAACTCTTCATTAGAGAACATTGTAAATAAACACGACGACGTACACGAACAAAAACAAAACAACATACTAACCACTGTTACCGTTTGCGATCGATTGCCGGTTCGATAAGAGTGATGACCGACGCGCTGTTGTCATGTGTGTTTTAAATATTTAATTTCATGAAACTTACCTACTGACTACAAATTTTTGCTTAACTTAGAAAAACTTAATGCCATTTATTTGTTGATTACCCAATTTAAAAACGTTTTGGGTTAGATTATAAAAATTACTTAGATTGTGGTGATTGTGGTCGATATAAAGCACTTAAAGTTGTAAACTATAAAGACATTTAGACAAAAATCTATTGACTTTTGGACCATGGGTCACATGAACTTTTTGACTTGTTTTGGCCCCTCTATTACCCATTTCGATAATGACTGCCATAACGTTTACACCCTGTATAATAATAATGTTGACAATTAATGTGAGATTATATCAAATATGAAGACAATCAGGCTGATTCTGAAAATAGTGCCAATACGAGGGATGTCTTTTAAGTTTGGCATATGGGAATAAAACAATAAGGTAGGTAGCTTTAAATGACTTTATTGTTTTTCGAAGTATTCTCCACGAATATTAATACACATCTGCATGCGCTCGAACCAATTTTCGAAGCACTTATTCCACTTGTTTGCTGGCAGATCCAAAACGGCATTTTTGAATGCGTCAACTGCCTCTTAGGTGACTGGAACCTTTGATCACGCAGTCTGTTTTTAATTTTCGGGAAAGTAAAGAAATCGTTAGGACTTAGATTGGGACTATATGGAGGATGGTCCAATAATTCCACGTTTTCTTCCGTTAATACTGCCTTGTTTTTTGGGCTGTGCGCGAGCTTGCATTGTCTTGGTGGAGGATGATTCTTCTTTCGGGGTTGATTTTTCGAAGCTCGGTGATGACTTTTGACAAACACATGGTGGTATACCAATCCGCAGTAACAGTCCTTTGCTCTTCAAGAGGAATTGTTGCAATAGGACCCGCTTTTGACACAAATGTCGCGACCATCTTTTACGAAACACTTCGAGGACGGATGACTTTTGTTGGCTTTTCTTCACCTTGGAACACCCAAACATCCGACGTCGTTTATTTTCTGGTTCATAATAGTAAATCTACGATTCATCACCACTAACAATGCTGTACATATTTCTTGAGTTTCCGGAATTCAAACGGTCAAGCGTTTTTTGACAAAAATTAACCCTGGCTGCTCTTCAGTCAACAGGCGACGTATCCAACGAGAAACTAATTTTCTTACTCCTAATTCTTCATGTAAAATTTTTTGAATTGAGGTCTTTGAGATCTTTAAGGGCGCCTCAATCTTGCGATATGTCACATGTCTATCTTCAATGATGAGTTTGCACACAGCATCGACGTTTTCCTGGGTGACTGCCGTTTTTGGTGCACCCACCCTGGGATCGTCGCTAAGACAATCAGGCTGATTATGAAAATAGTGCCAATACGAGTATTACTATGAAGTAGATCAAAAACTAATGCCAGAAGTTCATATAAGCATGAGTCCTGAAATGCCCCATTACAAAGTATGGAAGTTGTGGTTTCGAAACTGAAAAAAATGATGTCTTTAAGTTGTATTAATATATTGTGTTATAAGTTTATAAGTGTTACGCAGTATTGACAGCGTAGCTAATACATACAGAAATGTGCATTCCTGAGACTCTACTCGAACGAATGGAAATCGGAAAATTGAGACCATTACAGAAGAAATTGTTGAAAATTGTTTTCTATGCCACTTATTGTTTTGAAACATCTATTGTACTTTTAAATAAGGTATTTAGTTTCACATTAGTCACCTCTCTCCAGAAATATCTGTCAAGTTACTCCATCTCGTTCACCTTCTAAAATACGCGAACTTTACATTGGAAACTGCAGTGTATTAGTAGAGTGTTTTTATTTCACCATAATGTTATTTGAACAATATTCATATTTCCTCCTTATTCAGACTCATCGTAGAACATACAACGCACTGTGTCTTCATAACGGAACATTCAAATACTTGTATAGGAATTATTTGTTTTTATTTTTGCATGTACTTTAGACTCAGAAAGTATTGCGTTGATTCACAGAGTTTCATTTAAATCACTCAAGCAGTTCAAGAAAAATTAAATATATCAGTATTAGAAAAAACTTAAACATGCTGTATCTCAGTCATGAAGGCATGAAATATCTAAATTCGTGTGAACTTTTTGGTTCAATTTGGTAAGCTCCGCCAAATAATATATTATGAATCTGAATAACCGCATATTCAAAAAACGAGTTTAAAAAACAAAAAGGTGACAATCGAACACGGCTAAAATTAGCAGATGCAATTCTGTACAGTATCTTGACGCAGTCCAGTAAAAACTGCTAAAATCCGTCCAGTGGGACTGAGTTTATTACGCTATCTGTAAAATCAAAGGATCTATTTGTATCAGAAAGACATTACTAGAAATATATGTCACATATTGTGATAGTCAGAATGCCTACTTTCGAATACTACTTCCAAGTCACGTGATCAAAACTAACAAAATTGATCAATTTATTGTTTGAAGATACCCGTCATACTATTAAATTAATACAGCCTATTACGTCGTAACGTCTATTGAGGTGAGCAGCTGATCAGCAAGGGACGTCTTCGTATCGGTCTGTAACGTTGGCAATAATGGGTCGTGTGTAAATATGGAAAAACTCAGGACTATATTTAGAGTATTTAGAGCTATTGTTTTCATATCTAGATACTTTTAGCGACTGGGATTTTTTACAGTAAAATAAATATATAAATGTGTGTCACTCGTCGATATGGAGAACTTTTAAATATGACTACATAATCAGCTCTTGCTCTACCGTAATGGGTACTCGTGAAAAAGACAGGAGGGATGATGCTCCCGTACGCTATTTATTTTCGAATAGTAGCATGGTCCCGTGATAGGAGCCCTTAACGGCACCTATAACGGTTAATTGTTGGTAACCATTAACGACGTGCAGTGCAATTAAGTCGCAGGAGATGAGATCTTGCGGCCATGTTCGCCACCGCCAATGCCCATGTTCACCTTGTTGTACTAAATTGAGTAGCAAATTGAGAATGATGCTGCCAGGAACACCCCCTCGTCGTACAATATGTGACGATGTACAGGATAGCTAACATAACACAATCCATCTCCTTATCTCAGAAGCCACCCAGTACACAGAAAAATGTTAAATACAAAGGCTTCATTGTTTACAACAAGGCTTTATCTCATCATAATTTTGTCAGAGTGAGCATCAACTGAATCTTTTCTTATCAGCAACTTTTATATTTCAGCACATTATCGGTTTCTACATTTGATTTAAAATATAATTTGACATCAAACATATTTTTATCTGTTTTTGAGATATACAAGTATGAGTTTTGTTCATTTTTGTCTAAATCCAGTTATCAAAACGGTACATTGCTAAGAGAGAAAATATGTTTATTAACAAATAATGGTATAGTCTACCTAACGTGCCCTTATGTTACTGTATTTATTCAAATTTCATCTAACCGAATATACAGGGTGCTTGCGAAGCACATCCAAACATTGACAATTTGAATGTAAAGAACTCACTCTTTATATTTTCATGTCATCTCCTATATATTTAAATTCCCTTCAATCTCATATACATAATTCCTATATTTAGACTAAGGATTTTAAAGCTGCAACAGGTTTGAGATATGTATATTTCCCATAAGCTATTGGCATTAAATTTGAGACATGGATATGTAACGTTCTTTTATCTTATAAAAAGTTAACTTATCCTTTCAGTTCCATTAGAAGTCAGATCACATGGAATATGACTCACTATTTGATATCTTTTTAGACTATGTAGCATCCGTAACTTTTGTCTTTTGTATATTTTAAAGGAATCTATGAACTAAAAAATAATAACAATTAGTCGAACTTCAATCAACGACAACAAATTCGAAAAGAGAACAACAAAATAACGATTTTAGACTATAAATGACCATACAATTAGAAATTGTGAATAGCAGTAACAATAACAAACACAAACTACAGACAAGACAATAAACCAGCAAGAATAACAATAACAAAATTAATAACATCCAAATTTTCTAACCACAATCATATGAGTACTTTTAGGGTTAAATGATCGGGCTATATCATAAACTATAACCTGTTTAGCCTGTTCACTATAACTTGTTACAATAAATAGCAATTTCTTTAAACTTTTTTATACCAAATTAGAAATAAATTTAAGAAACATACCTAGAAGGAAATTGAGTTAAAAAAATATTTTAGAAAATACCCCCAAAAATTGATGTCTGGGGTGCAGCAGCACCTCGCTCGGGTTTATGGAAGTTAATTAAAATAAAGGAGAGGACACACCATCATTTCGTTCATGTATAAGAAAGGCGTGGCAGTTTAACCTGTTGCAAGGTTGTTAAACAAGGAACTCGGTATCCACTGCCTTATCATGCCTATACAGTACCGCCATTTCGGTATTACCATATTGCAGAAACATGACGTTACCCACTGTATAGCCAACTGTGTAGCCTTAGTCGTGCTAGTGGTGTTAAAAACCGCTAACAGATTCATTTGATGTTATTTTAGGAAACGTGAAAATGACGTAATCTAATTTCTCCATCACATACACATGGTAGTTAACGAACAAGCTTGCCTCGAACTTGTACTAATTTAAAGTTTCATGCGGCTCCAACCACTGCCGACAGACAGTTCTGTCTTTGATCTGGAAATCTACAGAAAGTGTGCCTCACAGGCAGCTAGATAGAGCATTTTCCTAAAATTACATATTTATAATTTGTAAGTGAGACAGTTTAGTTAAAAATGGTTTTATTCGAATACATGTGATTTTACGAATTATATACAGTAATGGACAAAAGTATATAGACAAATTAATATTGTGCTGCATTTATTTTTTAACTTGTTTTATTAATACACCAACCTGTATGCTTAATTCGTTATAGCATAATACTCACTTATACATAAATAAATTCATTAGATTCCCTTCAATAAAAAAATAATTGAAAAAACTTGAACTATGAAGGACAAAAATATATAGACAAGGCAAAACAATTATAGAAAAAAGAAGCAAAGTTCACTGAATTATAGAAAATCAACCATGTTTGTGTTAATATTTTATAGCATAACATCAATCTGTCTCCACTTCTACTCTAAAGTGGCAAAAAGTTCATCCTTATTTGAATAATTTTCAATGCGGTTTCTAAGGGAAACTGTGAAGGTCATTTGAGAACTGGTATTTTTTCATCCAGAACAAATTTCTTTGCGAGATTTGAAGTGTGCTTCGAGTCGTCATCTTGCTGGAAGATTGATCTTAAGGGCATATTGTCTCCCATATAGGGTAACATGACATGCTTTAGTATGTCTGTGTATACAAACTTATCCAGAATGCCATCTATTCTATGTAAAGGTCCCATCCCAAACCCCGAAAAGTATCCCCAAACCATAACAGACCCACCTCCATGTTTGACAGTGGGCAAAGTGTACTTGGGTTCAATCTTTGTCCACCAGGACGTCTAACGTAATGAACACCATCTGATCCAAACATATTGAACTTGGATTCGTCACTGAAACATACTCTCTTCCAGTCACAGATGCTCCAATCAAGATGCCATCGTGCAAATTGTAATCAGTCCTTATGGTTTTTCCTCGAGATTAGCGGCTTCATACTCGGGCGACGTGCAAATAACCTCAAATCAGTTAATCTGCTACTTATAGTTTTCGTAGAAACGCTGATGATTCCTTTTATTAATCTAACTGATCTAGCATTTAGTTTTCTAGGCCGACCACTTCTCTTTGAGGCTTCCAAGATACCTTTTTGTTTATATTTGTTCAATAATGTCCAAACTGCTTTATACTTCAGCTTAACATTTTTGGCAATGTCGACTTAGTTTTTCTACTAATAACAAATTTGTTTATGGAGCAATGAATTATGAATTCGTTATCTAAAGGTACTTAGGTAAATATTCATATTTGTCTATATACTTTTGTCCATTACTGTATATGACATTCAATGCAAAACTGGGATGTGAGCATTCGTCAGGAACAGTATCGAGAGCGTAAAATGCAAATCGTCTAACTCAAATTCAAATTCCTTTATTAGGTCCGAACATTATAGTATAGAGAGGAACACGTCATATACACGGTGTTTCAGTTTATTGTTGCATAACTTTAAGATTCGATAGAACTTTTAAAATTAATGCATAAAGTCTATATAAACATGGGTCGAAAAATGCGTGGCTTCAGAAATACAGGGTGCTTAAATTTACTTTTTAAAATGGTTTTATTTAAATATTTCGAACAATATTTGATGTATAACAGTGAAAATTGGTATACAAGGGTGTTTTGGTACGACAAAACGAACCGTAGTTTTACGAGTACTGTAGCCACTAGAGGGCGATCTCTACTGTACCTGTAGTGTAATAAAATGACCAAAATTTTTTTCTTAGTGCAATTTTTTGCTTTTTGAATAAAAAAACTGATTCTTCGCACTTTTCTGCATAAAAAAGCTCTCCTGTGAGTTTTCGTTATAGTTAGCCCTTTTTGAGATAATTCGATTTTTAAGGTTCGATGCATTTTTAATTATTTATGGGAAAATAATATTTTTTTTACATTTTCGATTTGGGCATTACATGTAATTTAGATGATCGTTTAGATTGTGTTTTTAAACACAGCGATAATTCCTAACTCCAAATAAACACAAAGAAACTGAATATTAATTTGTTTAATTTTCCAATATTATTTTTAACAAATTAAATTAATTATTTCCAACTAAAATGCTATTGGATAGTTAGAACAAACATACATAATCTAAAGTAGTTGCTGCTCGAAATGTAAATCCAATTGTTCAATACACAATTCACATCTACGAATGGTCGAACGTGGTATAGCATTATTCAAATAAGGCCTTATTTCATCACATGCATTCCTGATTCTGTCTATTAGCATATCTCTTGTGGTTACGGGAGTCTGGTACACTTTTACTTTTAGAAATCCTCACACAAAGAAATCTAATGGATTTTGGGTCAGGGGAACGTGGAGGCCAGGCGACTGGTCTTCCACGGCCGATCCATCTTTCTGGATAATTTTCGTCCAGCCAGTTTCTAACTATTCTCGAATAATGAGCTGGACAACCATCAAGCTGGAACCAGGAAAATCTTCTTAAATCTAACATAACATCATCCTACGTATAGGCATGTTCAGCCTTTAAAAATTCCAAGAAGGTCGCAGCATTTAACCTTGCAGGCAAAAGGTGGGGTCCAAATAGTCGATTACGGTTGGTACCAATCCACACGTTCACACTAAATTCATGCTGAAAATTTCTTTCCCGAACTGCATGTGAATTTTCATGCGACTAAATATGTTGATTATGAAAATTTACCACTGCACATCTAGTGAAGCATGACTCATCGGTCCATAAAACGTTACTTAAAAACTCCCTATTATTATCAGTTTTATCAAGAATCCACTGACAAAATGTGATTCTTTGTTCTCCGTCCCGTGGCTGTAGTCCTTGCACAGGTTGCAAATGGTAAGCAGGTCTATGGTCATTTCTAAGAACACGGTGAACGTGGCTTGCTGAAATTCCCAAGGCACCAGAAACTCTCCTAACACTTGTGGTCGGATTTCTATCAAACTCACGCAGAATCATATGGGTAAATCTGCGTTGACGAACATTTATGTTTTGATCCCTTTGGAGATTTTCAAAACCATTTTCAATTATTTGGCGATGCACTCTTACAAATACTGAGCGTGTTGGATGTCGTCTGTTTGAAATCTTCGTGCGTATTCTCTGGCTGCTTCTGCTGCGTTTCCATTTACAAAGCCATACACAAAATGAATATCCGCTAACTCTTGATTGGAGAATCAAAATAGCATTTTTATAAAACTTCCAAAAAAAAACACAGGTAAAAGACACTAAATTTCGTGCATTCACAATTGCAAAAAAGCGTTTCAGGTTTCAACAGACAACAAAACTAATTGACTAATTGACGTTTAACCTTATTCTGCTTTCAATTTCAAAAACATTTGCAGGCACAGCCTGCTTCTAAAAATTATCGAGATACTGACTTTTTAACGTTATTTTATCATAAATAATTAAAAATGCATAGAACCTTAAAAATCGAAATATCTCAAAAACGGATAACTATAACGAAAATTCACAAGCGAGCTTTTTTATGTTGAAAAATGCGATGAATTAATTTTTTTTATCCGAAAAGCAAAAAATTGTGCTAAGAAAAAATGTTCGGTCATTTCAATACACTACAGGTACAGTAGAGAGCGCCCTTTAGCGGCTACAGTAAAACTGTGCCCATGGTTCGTTTTTTCGTACCAAAAAACCCTTGTATACCAATTTTCACTGTTATACATCAAATATTGTTCGAAATATTTAAAAAAAACTGTTTTAGAAAGTAAATTTAAACACCCTGTATTTCGGAAGCCACGCATTTTTCGACCCATGTTTATATAGACTTTATGCATTAATTTTAAAAGTTCTATCGAATCTTAAAGTTATGCAACAATAAACTGAAACACCCTGTATATCACACACAATATTTAAAAAGGTAAAGATGAAATAATGAAAAGATGAAAAGAACAATAAACAAACTGAATACAGAACATTTAAAACGTGCATGTGAATGCCAAGTTAATGGACCTTCTGAAGCACAAGGAACTCATCTATATTGTAGACGGTATTAGATAAAAACATCCTCTGAAGGTGCTTTTTTAGGAGCATAATTGTCTATTTGTTTAACAGATTCTGGTCAATAATCAATAATGTATATTCGCTTCACTTTATTTCAAAGTGAGAGGAATATTTTCTAGAGACGCTCATAGTTTTTTATACTGATACAACCGCATAGGCGTCAAATACCGGGGCGCCGTAACTGCGTTAAAAAGCTTAGAGACAATCTCTTACTGCTACGTTTGAACTACTTAAGGTTAACAGAGCTGGTAATAGCCTCCTTAGGCAGATTATTTCGCAATCTCGACATAGTAAGGACAAAGGAACGGTCTTACTGGTCTATTCTGGACGTACAAAGTTTAAATGAGTTAGGATCGAAAGCAGATGCCTGAGGGGTCCGTCTTGCAGGCTCAACGATTGGAGGCGTCATATAGGCGAGCAGTGTACAACATAACCCGTTGAGCAAGCGGTTGAAGAGAACCAGATCGGCGTCGGTATAAAAGGGTCCCGAGGCTTTTCGTATTGAGGTATCCGAAAATGTGACATAATGAAATATACGATAATCTTACCACTCCCATCACCCACATAGTGACAGGGTTTAACGATCCCCTATTCCATGCTTCAATCCAATCTTTTAATGCCCGTACCTAGATGACAATTTGTCTCTTGAGGGATCAGAGTATTATCTCCTTTTAAAGTAGAAACAATGTTCCAATGACAAGTCAACTTTTCTGGGACAAACGCTAGACGAGGCCAGACTTGCGGGTCGCTACGGTCCGCTAAGCTATGGGCTGGCTCCGGGTCATCAACGATGAACAATTTAAGACCGTTTAGTGTTAATTGCTCGCGGGCCCAGGCGACACTAAACAGAATATAAATTGCGACCGATAAATGCCTATAAATAAGGAAGCGGGAGCTGGCGAGGCAACTCATTGGCGTACGTTGCAGTAAAGTTGGCTTGACCGTATGACCGTAAGTTCACATTCCAAACTTTCCAGTTGACGGTTCTGAAGATATTAAAAAATTGTTTTTCAATTTCAAACTTCAACACATCTTAAAAATAAATAAAATACGGTCCTGTGTATGATGTTTTATCTTTAGTCACGACTTTTGAATCACCCTGTGTGATGTTAACAATCAGCCAGAACAGTAGTCTATATTCATTTGGGCCACGTCACGCCACAACCCCACTGCCTATTTTCGAAGATCGAATTTTTCGCATAAAATTCTGCCGACATCCAAAGGGTTGTCAGCTAACCTTTTAACATTAATTAGCCAGATTTTAAGGATGTGACACACCATATACAGCTTGTCTACTAGCATCATTAATAATCAGGACACGTCAGTCACCCCAGGACAGTACGAGCAAGTTCCTTAAGTGTTTGAATAGGCTTATCGACAGCTTGCAGGCCGTAAGTAAACGAACCCCGAAGTGAACCCTCACATTCCTTACGCGAAATATAGAGCTGCAAGTTAGGTTAACCGTTTACCCCAAACTATATGACATCACTTCGCGTTCATTCATGGGTATCTAAATAATAAAAATATATATTTTATATACAGTCGCACCTAACCTTGAGTTCTATTGTTGATTAACCTACTCCACTTGAAGGTAGCCAACCAAATACTGTATTTTGGCGTCCAAAAAGGTACAAGCGCTATCTATGATACAGTAGCAGAGCACAAAGATGAGTTTACAAATTTACTCAGGGGAGAGTTAGTTACTGCTACTGTCCGCTATCTGGCGGTATAGATTAACGTATGCCAACTAAGGATACCAAGTTAGATATAAAGGAGACCAAAAAGTAGAAACAAAGACTATTTTCAAAGTGGATTCCTACATTCATTTTTGTGTAATACTA